CCCCAAAACCCCAAAACCCCAAAACCCCAAAACCCCAAAACCCCAAATATAATCGAAAAGGTTGAAATAATAGGAAACAGGAAATGGATTCAACAAATAGATCTCTCTCAAAACTCACACAGGAGACTGAGTCTTCTAAAAGGAAGAAGAGAAACTTCCAGAGTAAATTTTAGCCTTATATCTTTACTATAGATCTTGCATTACAAGCTTTTTCCCCTTCAAAGACAATGCCAAAGAGATCTGCTTTCACACAATTTAAGACGAAAGGGCAGGTTTTAGCATCAATTATGCAGACTCCAACCAAGATGATAGATTTATCTGCTGATAGCTCAACCGAAGATACTGGTAAAACTCCTAGCTCGAGTACTCATCTTTCTGGATCAAAAACCAACAGGTCTACAGGAAGATATGACTTCAGCAGAACTTTCGAATTAGCAAAACCAAAGAAGAGGGTAGTTGCCCTCCAGAAAAATTTTATTTCTAAAAAGGATGATATTAAGAAGCTCCCCACTAACTCAACAACAAGGAGGCCAAAGTTACAGACAGCTGCCTCTGTTAAATCTTTTGATGTCCAGGCAGTCAAGAAGAGAGGATCACTTACTCAAAACACCATATCCTATATGAACAAATTATCTGGGAAATTAGCCAAGGATCCTGAGACTCCTTCCACTAAGAAGTGCTTAAATAAAACTGAAAGATTCACTATTCCCAAACAACATAACCCCACTACTTGTAGGAAGAGAATCGGGAGCAAAGCACATGAAGAGATTAAGAGCCAAATGAACCAGAAAGTAACCACGACTAAAAAGATTAATAAAAATCAACAAGCTGCTTTAGACAGGGACAAAGCTAAGCCAGGCTCTAGTATTCGAAAGTCCAGACCTACTGTTAGAGGATTGGGTAGAAACAAGACATCTCCAGGTGTTCTAGAACAAGCTGGAGCAACTCCACAAAAACAAGTCCAAGAAAAAGTTCAGGAGGACCAAAAAGAACCAAAAAAACCTAGGATTAGTAAGCAAGTAGAGGCTCCAGAAGGGCTTCTCAAGATTGAAGAGAGCCTAAAAAGAGGAGAAGAAGCCCTTAGCTTAAAAGAAACTGATACTCTAAATTTTACTGAAGAGACAAAGACTAGTGAAGCTCAAAAGACTAATTCAGAGAAAGATAGTATTCAAGATTATTCTCATCAAAATAAGAAAGATACTCACTGAGAAAAGAAGGAAGCTCAAAAATGTTCTGCTAAGGAGAGTCTGATTGCTGATAGTGCAAAGAAAAGAGAGGACGAAACTGAAGAAACTAAGGTTTGCGAAGAGCAAGATACAATTAAAAATAATACTACCCAAAATATTAAGGAGAATAAACCTAAATGTAAAGAAGAGAAGAAGAAAGAATTTAAGGATAAGACTAAGATCCTTGAAGAGAAGAAAGTTTCTACACCTGCCAGTGATCAATTTAAGACTTCTCCCTCCCCTTCACAAAATCTTCAGAATTCTTCTAAAATTACCAACCAAAAATCAAATAGCCCAGCCCTGGCTCAAAATTGCGTTTCAAACACTCAAAAATTGTCGAAAAACTCACCAAGCAACTCTCTCCCTTCAAAATCTCCAATTTCCAAAACTATATCAAAGCCAAAGTCTTCTATCGACCCAAAACTCACAAATCCTGCTAAGCCAACCTCTCCAAAATTCCAAAAACCAATTTCCTCAGTTCTCTTCAGAGTTAGATATGTCACTGTTCCAGGCCAGGACCTTTATATTTCAGGAGACATAAAAGAACTCGGAGAATGGACTAAGACAGATCTAGGCCTTCCTATGAGATGGACTGCAGACCATATCTGGGTCGCCAAGTGGAGCACCGAAGAACTTCCCAAAAAATTCAGCTTCCGATTCATCGTAGAAGAAATAGATAAGTCCATTACAACAGAGAACAGAGATGTTAGACTCTTCAACCTCACTAAAATCGAAGCAGCACTAAAGAAGGTCAGAGATAACAAAGGAGTACAAGGTATTGCTATTGATGAAGGAAGTACACTTCTCGCCTTCGATGAGACCCAAACAACCGCTGTTCTTACCTATCTGTGGGAAGAATAATAACCTGAATATCATCAATTCAACATTGCTCAGTACAAAAGGGGTTTTGGGGTTTTGGGGTTTTGGGGTTTTGGGG